GAGCCCGATGCGGGACTCGATCCCGGGACTCCAGGATCATGACCTGAGCCGAAGGCAGTCGCTTAACCAACTGAGCCACCCAGGCGCCCTCGGGTGAAATTAGATCTTTGCGCACTTCCTGGACTACCGCTTGAGACTTGAGACTTTGTGACTGATTTCAGTTTTGAAGCCATACACACAATTCAAAATATACACAAACTGGGTTAAGGCAATAAGAGTGGGCTGAAAGAAAGCACAGGACTTGGAATGAGTAAACTGTGTATTTTGCTTGCATGTGAGCCACCACGTGACCAGCAAGTGCTGTGTGTGTCTCAGAGCTCCTTTACTGTAGTGTGGGGGGCTCCCGAACATCTATAGTGATTGCACAGCGAGTGGACAGACAGCAGGTATGACCTGGCTGCAAGCTTTGCTGAGGGCTCATTTCTTCTCCACCTCTCCTTTTTTGGTTTCTTATTTCAGTTTGTAGTCCGCCAGCACAGCCTTGATTGCATCTGCCGCCAGCATGGAGCAGTGCAGTTTCACGGGACTGGGGGGGCGAGGGGGGGGTGGTATATAGAGCTCCTTGGCGATGTCCGTGTTCTTGATGGTCAAGGCTTCCTCTACCATCTTCCCTTGTACTCATTCAGTGGCTAACGAGCTGGAGGCAGTAGCAGACCCACAGCCAACTGTTTTAAACCTGGAGTCCACAATCTTCCCCTTTTCATCCACTTGAATCTGCAATTTCATTACATCACCACATGCTGGAGCCCCCACCAATCCAGTTGTAGCATTTTTTGATGTCTTGTCAAGGGACCCCACATTTCTAGGATTTTCATGATGATCAACAATCTTCTTGTGATAGAGCCCTGCTGGAGCCAACAGTTCCCAGGCAGACGCAGGCTCCGCAGCAGCAGGGCCAACACCGCCGCCTCAGATGGCCTGTTTCAGCCGCCACCATCTGCAGGCTTGCGCCTGCGCAGCAGTTTTATTATTTTTTTTATTAAGTAATCTCTACACCCAACGTGGGACTTGAACTCACAACCCTGAGATCATGAGTTGGATGCTCTACCGACTGGCCCAACCAGGCGCTCCTGTATCTAGGTTTTTGCCAAATAATTTGCATTTTGCATCTGTTATTAATAAGGAGGCTAAAAATGTCTTCCCTTCATCAATTTCAGAAATTTTTTGAACTGTTGTTGATGGGGAATGTTTATGTATGGAAGTGCACATGTATTTGCAGAATTATATAACAAAAATTGAAATATGGAAAGATATCAGCCTGCAAGTAGCTTCTTCGTGTAAAAGGAAGTTGGAAAATAGTTTTATTTTGTTTGTTTTAAACCTTTTTCAAGTTTGTTTATTTTTAGTAATCTCTACACCCAACATGGGGCTCAAACTCATGACCCCAGCTGAGATCAAGAGTTGCATGCTCTTCTGACTGAGCCAGCCAGGCACCCCTGTTTTTTTGATGAAGTATACATTCAGAACAGTTTACACGGTATCTGTGTTCAGCTTAGTGAATCACCACAAAGTGCACATACTCTGCAGCCACCACCCAGATCAAGGAGTGGCTGAAGTGGTCAAGGAGTGGTCTGAAGTGGCTTTAATTCGCATTTGCATTATTATCAATGGAATTAAGCACCTTTTCATATCTTACTTTTATATGTTTAGTGGACAGTTAGATATCCTCTTTGTGAAATGCCTGTTCAAATCAATTGCCCATTTTGCTACTGTGTTATCTTTTTCAACTTTTTTTGTGTGTGTGATAAAATACACATAACATTTATCATCTTAACCATTTTTAAGTGTACAGTTCAGTAGCAATAAGTACATTCACATTGAGCAACCATTAGCACCATCCATCTCCAAAACTTTCATCTTGCAAAACTGAAACTCTGTCCCCATTAAACAACAACTCCCCATTCCCCCTCCCTAGCCCCTGGCAACTATTGTCGTACTTTCTGTCTCTGTGAATCTGACTACATAAGTACCTCATATGAGTGGAATCACACAGTGTTTGTCTTTTTGCCACTGGCTTATTGCACTTAGCGTAATGTCCTCAGCATTCATCTACACTGTAGCATGTGTCAGAATTGCCTTTTTTTTTTTTTTTTAAAGATTTTGTTTTTTTCAAGTAATCTCTACACCCAATATGGGGCTCGAACTCACAACCCTGAGACCAAGAGTCACATGCTCCACCGACTGAGCCAGCCAGGCACCCCAGAATTTCCTTTTTAAATGTTGAGTAATATTCCACTGTATGTAAATACGACATTTTGCTTATCCATTCTTCCATCAGTGGACACTCGGGTTATTTCCACATGGACTTTTGGCTATTGTAAATAATAGCTGTGAACATGTATGTATAAATATCTCATAGAAGCCCTGCTTTCAGTTTTTTGGGTATATACTCAGAAATGGAATTTCTGGGTCATATGGTAATTCTATTTTTAATTTTTGAGGAGCCTCCATAACTGTTTTCCACAGCAGCTTCACCATTTCCATTCCCACCAAGGAATTCTCTTCCCAACAAGTGTTTTAATTTTTCCATGTCCTCACCAGCACTTTTTTTTTTATAGTAGCCATAGAAATGGGTATGAGGTGGTGTAGTGTGTTTTTTTGTACTGATTTATATTTTGAATATATTTATTAATATTAATATAATATACAATATATTATATTCAAGTATAATATATTTATTAATATTAATATATTTATATATATTTATATTCTGAATATATATATTCACATCTATTCTAGATATGAGCCCTTTGTCATTTATTTGTGTTGCACATAATGTTCTCCCACTCTTTGCCTTCTCTTTCTCTTTTAATGGTATCTTTTGATAAATGGAAGTTCTTAATTTTAATATAGTCCAGTTTGTTAATCTTTTGTTTAGGTTAGGGGTGTGTGTGTGTTTATAAAAT